ACTTATTTGGCTGTTGCTTACTTGAAAAAGTAGTTGTGAAATACTTTTACAAAGCTGGAGACAAATTTAAATTTGGAAAACATTTTATGAATTAAAAATTACAAAAGGAAAACACTTTCACAAAGGACAAAACAAAGTTTAACGCAGTCTATTGGCCGTATTTACCTTTATTTTGATAGGACAGCTGAAGAGAGACAGGAAAAGCTTACACACTTTCAGAAAAATTCTAAAAAAAAAATCAGGATATTTCCAGGAGGAGCTGCATGTTGTGAACGCAAACAGCCAAATTTTTCATTCAGACTTCACCCGGAGTTTCTCCTGCCACACACCATAGTATTTTTTCCACAGCAAATCCAAGTCAGCTGATGTGAGAACGCAGCAGGATATTCTCTGGAGAATTCACCTCGAGCCAATGGGAGGGGGAGTGACGTGTATACTGTGACTGCTGCACGGTGCATAAAGTGTATACACCGTACGATCTCCATGCAGGTAATTAAACGACTGCATTAAGTTTTCTGTTCGTCAGTATGTTGTTCTCACTCTTTAGTTGACATTGTGATACAGGAATAGTCTGCATATGTGAAAACAGGTTAAGTGACCGCTTCTGGCATTTGGTACATTCCCTTTCCGTCAAGATTCTGCATTTGTAAATTCCTCTCAGCGCTCGAAAAGTGTTTGACACCTTTTAAATTTGTTTTCTAAAATGTAAATAATTTTTCCTTGGTAAAAGGTGTTTGCTTTATCTTTGTTTATAAAATGTTTTCCATAGATTGTCTTTTGTTTACTTCCAGCCACCGTACAATACAGATTCAACAAACCATTCCAACATCATTCGCATTAATAGAATCAAAGGAAATCACAAAGCAGTTGGGTATTTTTGGACTACAAATAAGCATTTGACACAATAAATCATGAAATACTGATCAATAAACTAGAACGATATGCATCAGGGATCGTATCTAGCAACAATTTGGAAGCTTGACATTGCTTGTGGCATCCCCCAGGGTCAGTGTTGGGTCCTAATCTGTTTATTTATACATTAATGACATACTGTATGTAAAGTCTCTAATAAACTGAAGCTGTCTTATTTGCAGATGATAACAATATTCTTTTTCAGTGAGAATCTACAATTATTAGGTTATTACTACAGAAATGGCAAACAATTAAAAAAGTGTTTGATAGAAATAAATTGTCATTAAATTTGAATCACATAAAAATTATTTATTTGGTAAATATAAAGCAAACACAAAAATACAGCTACAAATAGATGGTGTCACATTGAAAAGTTTATGTATACACATTTGTTGGGGTAACAATAGATAAATAAATCACAAATCTCTCCATACCCTCTACAGTACACTGTTTTACTGTATTTAAGTTACTGAGGAGGTTCGGGGCAACACATATAAAAAGTTAACCGCATTCACTCTCCGTACTTCAGAAAAGAGCCATAGGCTTCTTCATAATGCTGGATATCGGATCACACTCATCATTATTCTTGCAGTCAAAAACACTCAAACTCACAGAATTTCAAATAGCACAAATACTGTACAAAAAAAAAAACTATTTACTACCAGCAAATATCCCAAAACTATTCTTTGATAGAGAGGGTTACAATATGGAGACAACTGAATCTCAAAATTCTGGCCACACGCACAACATTCAGAAGTTTTTCGTTTCTATTGTTGGCATAAAACTTTGTAACAGTTTAAATGTGGAGCTGAAGCCAAGTCCAAGCACAAACAACTTTTAAAAATGTACAAAAAAATAAAAAACATTTTCAGAAAGTATAAGGATGCAGAAGGGACTAAACATTTGCTGCGTGTTATGATGGTGATTATAACGGTTGTTCATTTCTTTTTGTTTTTTCTAAAAGGAATGAAGGTATATATGTAAATATGTTGACAGGTATGGTGAAGGGTAAATAGTAATGGAGAAAAAACACTAACTTAAATGTATTACTACAAACTGTATATCATTAATTAAGGAGAGAAGAACATGAATATAGAAGATAAAAGAAATCAATACATGTTAAAATATGTCAATGGTTGATAAATGATAGACAAAAATGATAGACTCTCTACTGCGATGGATGTGCCCATCTTGGACAATATAAATTATTACACCTGTGCATGTGAAAATGCCTGTTACACGCTGAAGAAGAGCGTCGGCTCGAAATTTTGCAATAAATACACAAATTTGGAGTGCTTCCTTATCTTTTTTAATGGATGATATAATGAAATTTGCAGAAACACTTTATTATATATTTGTATGTTTATTGGTTTATATATATAAATGTGTATTGCAGATTCGTTATTTATTTATTCGTAAATGAAGATTAAATAAGGAAGCCTGTTCAACTATAACTACAGATTAACGGAGAGTGGATTCTATAAATTCACACTTCTTCCCACTTCTTTACGAACATGAAATTCAAATTTCTGTTGTCTTATTTACTTTTCTTTTTGTGGATCTGTTTTTGTTTTTTATCCTGAAACAAAGGGGGAAAAGAAAATACAAATTTGAAAAAAGACTTCAATCAATCAAAAGAATCCCAGCAGAGAAAATGAAAGAATGAGTACACAGATGACAGTAAGATAATAGAAAACAACAGTTGTTTTAAGGCTGAGTTGACTTCATCATCTTATGTCACTAACAAATCTTATCATTTACATTTGTTTATCCATAAGTATCCAAATCAAGCTGTCACAAAAAGAGCTACAGATCATTATACTCAACATGGTTTTCAAACAACCAGTCAGCCCAAAGTCCAGACACAAAGTTCAGACTTTTAGATCACTGATTTAGTCTCCTCTTCCTCCTCTTCATCCTGCATGGAGTAATAAGCATTGTATGATTATTCTTCATCAAAATAAACATTAAAATCAAAAGCAGCTCATTTTTTTAATATGATCAAAGTAAGTGTAAAAAAAAAAAAGAAACATGTTATTTATACTTTGTGTCGTTGACCAAAATGTTCATTAATAAAGCAACATGTCATTTTCTCTGAAGGAGAAGACGGTCCGGCTTTAAAATGTTGATTTACAAAAATTTCAAATATATGAAACAAACATTCATTCATGAACAATAAGACATGACAAAAAATCCATTTACCTTAAAAACATTTAAATGATGTTCATAGCTTCATCTGAAAGAATACATACTGTATATTGTAAATACATTTTACTCACAATCAGGGAGGTCGCCAAAACGTTCAAAATTCCTCTCTGCAGCGTTGCCACTTTGATCCCTGCAACAAGAGACACACTGATGATGTTTCTTTATTACAAATGAAATATGAAGAGCAAAGCAGACACTGAGCAACACATTAAACACTGTGTTGTTTCTTTTATTCATGAATGACACAAAGGATCAAAGTAGAGAGGAGGTGTTGATGTTTCAGTCAAACATTTGACTTGAAAACTCAACATCACTTCAACATCTTTTAAACAGGAGCATGGCGTTTGCTTTACATCAACCATGGGGGTTGTTTCATCTTTAAGGTCTTTGCACACTGAGTCTGTTTTTTTAAAATGTGTTTTTCAGATCTGTAATCCGGATCAAAACGTTACACAGGAACCTCACACTCTGAGTCAGATGTGTTCATTCTTCTCTCTCATTCTGAAAATTGTCAGTGTGAGACAGAATGGAGTCATCGAGCCGTGAGGAATGACTTTGTGATTCTTTCAGTCCTTAAAAAATAAAGAAATAAAAACCTCTGGGTCCACCCACTCCTGAAAACAAGACAAGAGCCAGGAGAGTTTCCCCTGTTGATAAAGAGCTGCAGAAGATCAGCATCACTTCAGGTGTATTTCAGGATGTCAGAGTTTGATACGCTGCTAGCTATACTGAAACTACACATTAAAGGAACACCACCAATTTACACACAGAAACTGATCCTGAACACGGATTGGAAGGATGCAAAAAAGTTAGAAAAACAAACCTGTTGTGAAAATAATAAAGACAGATGAAAGTTTTCAGAGTGCAAACATGATCGACTCAACATGAGATTGTATTTGTTTTTTAACATGCAGCAAAACAGACTCAGTGTGTGTGTGTGTGTGTGTGTGTGGTGTGTGTGTGTACAAACATGACTGTCAGGATTTATTTTAAAACACTTACCTGGCTGCTTGCTTTTGTCAGATTTTTTAAATCAATTATTTTTCCTGTTGACTGATCACTGTGGAGGATGGATCAGATGGACGTGTCGATTGGTCGTCATCCTGAGAAAGCTGAAAAGAGAGAAAGATTAGATAGTTAGATATCAAACCACAACAACAGATGAAAAACTTCAAGATTAGTCCAGTCAGACTTGATCTGGTTCTCTGAATGATTAACCCAGCTTCTCATATGGAATCAAACCTGAGTTTTTTTATGAGATATTTCTGAACCAGCAGGAACAATAATTTTATAAATATGTGAAAACAAAAATCAATACCTTTCTGAAGAAAAAAACATTTAAATGATGTTCATAGCTTCATCTGAAAGAATACATACTGTATATGTTGTAAATACATTTTACTCACCAATCAGGTGGGAGAAGGGCCGAAAACGTTCTTCTCGCATCGAAGACGTTCCCTCTGTTTCTGCAGGTGTTGCCACATTTGATACCTGCAACAAGAGACACACTGATGATGTTTCTTTATTACAAATGAAATATGAAGAGCAAAGCAGACACTGAGCAAACATTAAACACTGTGTTGTTTCTTTATTCCATGAATGACACAAAGGATCAAAGTAGAGAGGAGGTGTTGATGTTTCAGTCAAAAATGTAAGGTCTTTGGTCTTTAAGGTCTTTAAGGGCTTCATTACCTTAATTCCTACTTAGACCCATCTTCCTTACCAGCACTAGTTCCTATGGTCAAACAATTTAAATATCTGGGAGAGGTCATTTCTCCTTCTCTTAATAGCATTATGACAAACAACTATTGGGATAATTATAAATGTATAACTGTCGATCTAGATAGATGGGTCAAATTCCCCATTTCTCTTCAGGCTCACGTCTCCATAGTAAAAATGGACATCCTACCACGGGTAAACTTCTTTTCCTCCATGTTGCCATTACCACCATACTGGACATACTAGGACAAGATTCAGTCACTTGTGACTAAATTCATTTGGGGAGGGAAGCGACCCTGTGTTAAGTTATTCACACTGCGACGTCATAAATCATCAGGAGGTCTCTCCGTCCCAAATTTTAAATACTATTCCTGGTCATTTGTCCTAAGGCCTATCTCATCCTGGTTTAACCCTGATGCTGTGGTGTCATGGAAACCTATAGAGGAATACATAGCCCATCCTCATAGATTAAAGGATTTAGTTTACTCTGCCATACCACTAAAACATGCCAAACTCCATCTTAGTCCTATCAATATGGCGCAAAACAGAAAGAGAATCGAAAACAAGTCAGAAGTGGCACACAGCCCTATATTTCATAATAATTCCCTTCTAACTGGGTCTGTTCCATTTGCATCTCCAGTGTGGGAGAGCATCCATACAAGTGTGTACATCCATGTACATCCAGCAAGTGTGGTCTAGGGAACTGGAGGTAGCTTTGGAGGATGATAGTTAGAAAAAGATATGGGGAACTATCGTTGACTCTTCCAAAAACCCAAACCTCCAACTAAGACACCTTAACTTCATTCACAGAACCTATCTTACACCCAGGAAACGTTACCTTATGAAACTGTCTTCTTTATCAAGTTGTGATCTCTGCTCAGATACTCAGTTGGCTCATTTATGCACATGTTTTGGGAATGCATGTAGCAAAATTTTGGAGACAAGTTGGCCTTATTTTATCTAGAATCTTAAATTGTGATATACCTTTGCACTCACACAAGACTACCCTACAACTTGCATACTCACAAAAACGCATAATGTTAGCTGGACTTACTGCCGCAAGAAAGATGTTGGCTCTCCGCTGGCAACTTTCACATGTTCTCTCAATATCACAGTGGATTAATACTTATCTTGAGGTAGTTAACATGGAACTTTCTGTAGCCAAAATCCATGGTGCCAATAGAAACACCATATCATCTTGGACGTTGATTTTAACTATAATTGAAGCATTATTAACTACCAATAAGTAAAAGAACTGTGTATTATTGAGAAACAAGTGAATGTTAATGTGATGAATTGCCCTTTAATACTTGGTGTTTTCTACATTTCCCAAAAGACTTAATACACCTCAATTCATAAACTGTTACCTCTGTTGACATATGTGGATTTTATTTTGAATGTGTAGAGAAATGTGTTTTGAGTGTATGAACATGTATGTGTGAATACATGCATCCATATACAGATGCAATTACATCACATATGCAATATGTAAAATAATGTAGTCAGGGGAGTGCGACTTTCTAACTAGGTTAGTTGAATTGTAGAATATTTTCCAGAACTTGTGTATATAGTTGGAGATCTTGCGGGGGGGGAGGGGGGGGGTTTGGTCGCCACGGGAAACAGGGAGTAGGGAGGGATTGACAATCTGCAGCTATAAATAAAACTGATTATAGAAATGCAGATTAGGATTTTCCTAATAATGATATGTTTGATCAATTCATAATGTTGATTCCTCAGATATGTGATATATAAATGTATATGTTGCCTGAACATGAAAATCAATAAAAAAAATTGATCAAAAAAAGTTAGAAAAACAAACCTGTTGTGAAAATAATAAAGACAGATGAAAGTTTTCAGAGTGCAAACATGATCGACTCAACATGAGATTGTATTTGTTTTTTAAACATGCAGCAAAACAGACTCAGTGTGTGTGTGTGTGTGTACAAACATGACTGTCAGGATTCATTGTTAAAAACACTTACCTGTCTGGGTCGCATTTTTCTAATTTTTTGAAATTAATTATTTGTCCTTTTGACCGATCACTGTGGAGGGATGGATCAGATGGACGTGATGATTGGGCGTCATCACTGAGAAAGCTGAAAAAGAGAGAAAGATTAGATAGTTAGATATCAAACCACAACAACAGATGAAAAACTTCAAGATTAGTCCAGTCAGACTTGATCTGGTTCACTCTGAATGATTAACCCAGCTTCTCATATGGAAACCAAACCTGAGTTTTTTAAAAGATATTTCTGAACCAGCAGGAACAATAATTTTATAAATAAGTGAAAACAAAAATCAATTTACCTTTCTGAAGAAAAAAACATTTAAATGATGTTCATAGCTTCATCTGAAAGAATACATACTGTATATGTTGTAAATACATTTTACTCACAAATCAGGTGAGAGACGGGCCAAAAAACATTCTTGTTGGACTCGAAGACGTTCCCTCTCTTCCTGCAGGTGTTGCCATCTTTGATACCTGCAACAAGAGACACACTGATGATGTTTCTTTATTACAAATGAAATATGAAGAGCAAAGCAGACACTGAGCAACACATTAAACACTGTGTTGTTTCTTTATTCCATGAATGACACAAAGGATCAAAGTAGAGAGGAGGTGTTGATGTTTCAGTCAAACATTTGACTTGAAAACTCAACATCACTTCAACTGTGGTACAACACTGCCTCTCTTCTCTGATGTTTACATTACTTGCTGCTATTTATCATACCAAGCCACTTTAATTACTTGTCACTTTATCTTGTCATTCCCTGCAAATACTGTCTCAATTCTTAATTCCCCCCAGTTAACTTCATCATTCATTTTGTACTGTATATACCCCCTGTTTTTATTTTTATTTATCTTACATCACATTACATCACATTCTGTTTATTATTTGTTGTAAGCTGCTGCATTTGTTTTATTGTGATGAACTGCTGTGTTCGTCTATGTATGTAATGCTATGCTAGTTTACCTTCAATCAACGGCTTTCACAATCAGAAAGACCAGTGTACCTGCTGTTGAATCAAAGTCCGGCCACTGGCTTTCTGGTGTTTAAGTAACAGTTACTGAACTCAGCTCAGAGAGCTCAAACTAAGCCACACGGCTTCTTTTGTCTTTGTCCACCATTTTGTACCTACGTGACGTAGCTCCACATGGTGCTCTCATCTGCCCTCTATCTCACACACACACACACACACACACACACACACACACACTACGTGGTTTGTTTGTAGATATTTTGTTTGCTGTAGCTTAGTTTATAATAGTTATTTGTTTGATTGAGTTTCATTGATTGCAGTTGATGTTGCTTTGTTCAAATAAATTCTGTTTTATTTAAGATCAGTTGTTTGTGATTACTGGTGTATTTGCATTGTGATACAACTGGTTGCGAGGGCTTTATGTACAGATTTCACGTCTGCAATTTATTAAATACAGGTTGTTAATTATTGATAATATTAGTATTTAATTCATTCATTTGAGACTGATTTTATGATATTTGGTTCATGTTCTCTGATCCCACAGTGGTGCTCCTGTTTTTTAACTCTAGTTAATAATATTGTTGTTTTACAGTATATTAATAATGAATTAAGGGTAATTATTTATATTAATTTAATAACCAAATGTTACTATATACTAAAACCCAACTTAAATGTTGCCTGTGTATTAGCTCTGCAAAACCCCAACAATACTTTGTGCAGTAATTTCAGACCTCTGTCAATTTTGAACTCAGAACTTCAATTATGTGCTCGTATTTTAACTAACTGCATGGAATCATATATGATTAAAGCCCTATTCACACGGCACTAGTATTACCTGGGGACCTCATGTGATTTAGAAATGACATCACCTCGTCTGTGTTTCGTGCGGCACATTCACACGGGATAAGTTAAGTCTGTTTTTGAACTCGAATATACTGATATTATCCCCCAGATATGATGTCATGTGTTAACCTTTCCTGCTTCGGCGTTCCGACCGTGGTCGGAGCACACAGCGGAGACTTATTGGTCTGCTTCAGAGCCGAAGTTGTAGCCCTAAACTTCGAGCTGACCCCCGTCACTTTAACTGGGTGCAGCAAGTTGTAAACAGACACGGAGAGTCGGCTTGTTCTCTTTCCTCACTCGCACTGAGCCATTCACAGACAGACATACACTACTCGTATAACACAAGGCTCTGAGTAATATATGCGTAAAATATAGAAAAATGTTCCATCTTATCATCTTTGGATATTTCTCTCTCCTGATGGATTTGAGCTTGCTCTTTCTGCGATTGGGTCTCCATGCTGTGTAGCTAGATGAGCCTCCTGAATTTGCACCCAAAATGCTGTCAGATCTTTCATTTAGAATTGGCAATGCAGCCTCCATAATTCTCCACGGGAAAAAGGCAGAAAAAAGTCAGGGAGAAGACAAACAACCTTAAAAAAATAAATTAAAAAACTACCCAAATTACGAGATGCCGATTTGCACGGGACTAATATTATCACATGACCTCTGTGTTTGGCGACATACGGTAGGTAATTTGCGGTGGAATTTTTACTTCACAAATAACAGACATGGCAGATTCACACGGGATTAAGATCACAGAAGACCTCCACATTTATTACAAATTACAACATCTCTAATAGATTTCCCATTTCACGTTCATGCCGCCAAGGCTGCCCTTTAAGCCCTCTTTTATTTGCACTGTTGCTAGAACCTCTTGCCCAGAAAATCAGACAACATCCTTACATCTCCCCTATAGTTTTCCACAATAGCAGTCGATGATATACTACTATATGTAGATAAAACACCTACCTCCATTCCTTACATTCTTGAAACCTTTAATGAATTTGGAACCCATTCCAGCTACAAAATAAACTGGTCCAAATCGGCTTTATTACCATTAAATTCCTACTTAGACCCATCTTCCTTACCAGCACTAGTTCCTATGGTCAAACAATTTAAATATCTGGGAGAGGTCATTTCTCCTTCTCTTAATAGCATTATGACAAACAACTATTGGATAATTATAAATGTATAACTGTCGATCTAGATAGATGGGTCAAATTCCCCATTTCTCTTCAGGCTCACGTCTCCATAGTAAAAATGGACATCCTACCACGGGTAAACTTCTTTTCCTCCATGTTGCCATTACCACCACTACTGGACATACTAGGACAAGATTCAGTCACTTGTGACTAAATTCATTTGGGGAGGGAAGCGACCCTGTGTTAAGTTATTCACACTGCGACGTCATAAATCATCAGGAGGTCTCTCCGTCCCAAATTTTAAATACTATTCCTGGTCATTTGTCCTAAGGCCTATCTCATCCTGGTTTAACCCTGATGCTGTGGTGTCATGGAAACCTATAGAGGAATACATAGCCCATCCTCATAGATTAAAGGATTTAGTTTACTCTGCCATACCACTAAAACATGCCAAACTCCATCTTAGTCCTATCAATATGGCGCAAAACAGAAAGAGAATCGAAAACAAGTCAGAAGTGGCACACAGCCCTATATTTCATAATAATTCCCTTCTAACTGGGTCTGTTCCATTTGCATCTCCAGTGTGGGAGAGCATCCATACAAGTGTGTACATCCATGTACATCCAGCAAGTGTGGTCTAGGGAACTGGAGGTAGCTTTGGAGGATGATAGTTAGAAAAAGATATGGGGAACTATCGTTGACTCTTCCAAAAACCCAAACCTCCAACTAATACACCTTAACTTCATTCACAGAACCTATCTTACACCCAGGAAACGTTACCTTATGAAACTGTCTTCTTTATCAAGTTGTGATCTCTGCTCAGATACTCATGTTGGCTCATTTATGCACATGTTTTGGGAATGCATGTAGCAAAATGTTGTTGTTTTTATTTATCTTATCTATTCTGTTTAATGTGTATTTTTGAGCTTTCTTGTCTGTGCTGCTGTAACACCCGAATTTCCCCTCTGGGGATCAATAAAGTATTATCCTATCCTATCCTAAAATTTTGGAGACAAGTTTGCCTTATTTTATCTAGAATCTTAAATTGTGATATACCTTTGCACTCACACAAGACTACCCTACAACTTGCATACTCACAAAAACGCATAATGTTAGCTGGACTTACTGCCGCAAGAAAGATGTTGGCTCTCCGCTGGCAACTTTCACATGTTCTCTCAATATCACAGTGGATTAATACTTATCTTGAGGTAGTTAACATGGAACTTTCTGTAGCCAAAATCCATGGTGCCAATAGAAACACCATATCATCTTGGACGTTGATTTTAACTATAATTGAAGCATTATTAACTACCAATAAGTAAAAGAACTGTGTATTATTGAGAAACAAGTGAATGTTAATGTGATGAATTGCCCTTTAATACTTGGTGTTTTCTACATTTCCCAAAAGACTTAATACACCTCAATTCATAAACTGTTACCTGTGTTGACATATGTGGATTTTATTTTGAATGTGTAGAGAAATGTGTTTTGAGTGTATGAACATGTATGTGCGAATACATGCATCCATATACAGATGTAATTACATCACATATGCAATATGTAAAATAATGTACTCAGGGGAGTGCGACTTTCTAACTAAGTTAGTTGAATTGCAGCATATTTTCCAGAACTTGTGTTTATAGTTAGAGATCTTACGGGGGAGGGGGAGGGGGGGTTTGGTCGCCACGGGAAACAGGGAGTAGGGAGGGATTGACAATCTGCAGCTATAAATAAAACTGATTATAGAAATGCAGATTAGGATTTTCCTATTAATGATATGTTTGATAAATTCATAATGTTGATTCCTCAGATATGTGATATATAAATGTATATGTTGCCTGAACATGAAAATCAATAAAAAAAATGATGAAAAAAAAGTTAGAAAAACAAACCTGTTGTGAAAATAATAAAGACAGATGAAAGTTTTCAGAGTGCAAACATGATCGACTCAACATGAGATTGTATTTGTTTTTTCAACATGCAGCAAAACAGACTCAGTGTGTGTGTGTGTGTGTGTGTACAAACATGACTGTCAGGATTCATTGTTGAAAACACTTACAGGGCTGGGTCGCATTTTTCTAATTTTTTGAAATTAATTATCTGTCCTTTTGACTGATCACTGTGGAGGGATGGATCAGATGAACTTGATGATTGGTCGTCATCACTGAGAAAGCTGAAAAAGAGAGAAAGATTAGATAGTTAGATATCAAACCACAACAACAGATGAAAAACTTAGATTAGTCCAGTCAGACTTGATCTGGTTCACTCTGAATGATTAACCCAGCTTCTCATATGGAAATCAAACCTGAGTTTTTTATATGAGATATTTCTGAACCAGCAGGAACAATAATTTTATAAATATGTGAAAACAAAAATCAATTTACCTTTCTGAAGAAAAAAAACATTTAAATGATGTTCATAGCTTCATCTGAAAGAATACATACTGTATATGTTGTAAATACATTTTACTCACAAATCAGGTGGGAGAAGGGCCGAAAAACGTTCTTGTTGGACTCGAAGACGTTCCCTCTCTTCCTGCAGGTGTTGCCATCTTTGATCCCTGCAACAAGAGACACACTGATGATGTTTCTTTATTACAAATGAAATATGAAGAGCAAAGCAGACACTGAGCAACACATTAAACACTGTGTTGTTTCTTTATTCCATGAATGACACAAAGGATCAAAGTAGAGAGGAGGTGTTGATGTTTCAGTCAAACATTTGACTTGAAAACTCAACATCACTTCAACATCTTTTAAACAGGAGCATGGCGTTTGCTTTACATCAACCATGGGGGTTGTTTCATCTTTAAGGTCTTTGCACACTGAGTCTGTTTTTTTAAAATGTGTTTTTCAGATCTGTAATCCGATCAAAACGTTACACAGGAACCTCACACTCTGAGTCAGATGTGTTCAAACAGAAAAACAAACCTGTTGTGAAAATAATAAAGACAGATGAAAGTTTTCAGAGTGCAAACATGATCGACTCAACATGAGATTGTATTTGTTTTTTCAACATGCAGCAAAACAGACTCAGTGTGTGTGTGTGTGTGTGTGTGTGTGCGCGCACACATGACTGTCAGGATTCAATGTTGAAAACACTTACCAGTTTTGGAAATTAATTATTTGGTAATGTGACCTAGCACTGCAGGTGGATGGATCAGATGGACGTGTCGATTGGTTGTCATCAATGAGAATGTTGAAAAAAGAGAGAAAGATTAGATAGTTAGATATCAAACCACAACAACAGATGAAAAACTTCAAGATTAGTCCAGTAAGACTTGATTTAGTTCACTCTGAATGATAAACTCCTGATTCTTACATGAACTTTAAACCTGATCAACCTGACTATTTGGAACATTTCTGGACCAACAGCAACAACAAGTTTGAAAAAAAAAAAACATTTAAAGGAAATCCATAACTTCATCAAAACAAAGAACTTCAGAGAGAATGTGTGTGTTGTTAATCATCATCCAGTGTTTGATGAAAGTAGCAGCGTGTTGAGATTTGAAATAAGAAAATTACTTAAAGGTGTAATATGTAGATTTTTAAAAATAGACTAAACATAATTTTGTATTTTATTTTGTTGGGGACGTAAGCTCAAATATTTCCAACGGTTATCAAAACCAGAGAATTCCTTAATTTTATAGTTGTAGTGGGATGTGTCAGCCTCTGTGACAGACATTATATATTTATCGTTGCCATGGAAACACTGGATGTTACGTCAAAGACTCTAGCATAATGTAAAGGGAACTGCTACTGAAAGCTGCCATACTGTTGCTGTGTGTGCTTGCGGTGTACGGATAAGTCAGAGTTCATTCTCATCGGGGGTGGGGTAGCAGAGAGAATCACTCCCATGATTCCCCACCAGCCTTAACATCATCTTATGTCATTGTTTTGATTGAGAGCCCCCTGGAGGCGGAGTCTATGAACTGTGCCTTTAAAGACCCAAGTATTAAAATGTATAAAAAAATATTGTTTCATTTAAAACTTGATTGATGTACATAAAAATACATTGGGCCTCATTCACTAACAGTGCATACACACAAATATGTGCTTAAACCGTGCGTACAAACGTTTGAAGCACAAATCTGGGATTCATCAACGCATTCTTACTTGAATTTATTCTTACTCTTCCTCAGACCATGCGTACACACAAATGATTGACCACCTTTCTCAGAAAGTGTTAACACACACTCTTTTAACTAAATGCATGACATATTAAAAATACATTCAGTAAATAAATATATATAAGCAATATCAATATATATATTTTTTTTAAATGTTGAAAAGACCAGCATTAAAAACGTGAATTAACTAATGCATTTACTAATGTATTAAATAATCATGAAATATTCGCCTTATCATCCTTTAACGTAAAATCTAATCGTCAACCACTCCAACTAATATTGCTGAAATGAAAATATCGCATTTGTAACCAAAACCAGCTGATTAATTGGAGCCTATTTAAGAGCATGCAGGGAACATTCATGATTATGATTTACGTCTAAGAAAATGTAACGATCAGCCTTGCTGAAGCAAATTGCAGCCGGAGCCTCCATCAGGAACGCGCCTGACGATTTAGAATGATTCTGATTCACTATCATACGCAAGTTGATGAGACCAAAATTGGCTGGTACGCACGTGTCATGAATCCAACTTGGCAGTGATTTTGCGTATGCACTTATTTTATGCGCAGAGTAAGAACATTTCTACGCACATATTAGTGAATGAGGCCCAAATTGAATCTATTTGTTAGAATTGTTTTGAGAAATGGCGAAATAAAGAAAAACGAGTGTGTGTACATGGACTTGACCATCCCGGTTATGAGCGTCATCATGACAACCGTAGGCATTTGGAAACCGGCGTCCTGTAGCCTGATCACCACAGACTTGAAGAGGTCAGTATTTCTTTCTCCCATCTCAACGTCCAATTATATTGTATTAATGAAAGACAATAATCACAGAGGGATCAATTCCTACGCTCTCGTTGCCGCCGCCATGTTTGTTCTGATACGTCACTTGGCGGCGGCTGCGACTGAGCTGTCAGAAACCGTCTACATGCCACAGAATCCTGTTTTCTTTCTGAGTTCTCCAGGTAGCCGTACTGGGATTAGGATACTGGTTTGTGTGATCATGTTGTCATGATCACACAAAAAAAACGGGATACTTAAATAACCTAAAAAATATAGTAAAAAAATAATAGTAATAATTAAACAGGATACTCAAGTCCGTGTGAAAGCACTCGATGTCAGTTTTAACTGATACGGTTAAGCCTCATCAAAATATTGATATTTTTAAAACTGTCAGTCTGAATAAGATGTAAGCACATTTCACTCACCGACTGACAGATGAGTTTCCTGAGTCTTTATCATCATTTTCTGCTTTAGCGCCATCTATCTTCAGGTGGGAGAAGGTCGGGTTGAGCCTGTAACAATAAACACGGTTATGATGCAACTTCACCAGAAAAAAGTTCATATCAAAAGAAAATCCAGATTATTTTTAAATATGATATAAAACAGTGGAATCAGTAAAAGAGGTTATGAGTTTTCTTTGTCATTTTATAAAATGTTCAACAAACAGGTGACTGATGACCTAGCAGATCATAACGTCTCATGTATGGAGGCTAAAGCCATCCAAGTGGACGACCCGGGGTTCAACCTTTTTGACAAGAAACAGAGTCTGCTTTATGATGCTATAATGTTAATGTTTGCCTTTCTATCAACATGTAAACCAGAGGCAGTAGCATTCTTCTCTCTCTCCTTTGACTAATCCCTCCTGAAGGACGGACCAGATGAATCTGACAACTTTCTGTCATTAGATCAAACCCAGAAACTGCTTGATTCCAAAAACAATATGTACCACCACAAAGTGAAAAACCCTTTTGAATGTTTTTCTGGCTCTGCTGCTGAGAAGAAGACCTCAGGGTGGGAATCATATTACCAGAAGAGTTCAGTTAAAAAGTACTTTCCTATCAATGGATTTACATTTACATATATTTTTCTCTGAACAAGCAAACTGTGGAAATTTGACTGTTTGTGATCAAACCACATGCAGCAACTGGTCCTTACAGGGAAACTATGAAGAATGCATCAGATGTTCCTTTTAGAATATGATATAAAGCAGATTGTGTTCGCTCTGAATGGATGTCTCCTCTTTAAAAAGAAGCCTCCTCTTTTCTCTTGACTATGTCGAGTCGTTTAAATCATCTAGAAAGGAGGTCGTTTTTATTGACTTTGTGAATATGTTCAGCACAGAGAACAGGATTAAACCAGATGAACTTTGATTTGAAGTATGCTGTTTTCTCTTCAGGTCAAACACTAACAGCAGAATTGTTCTCTCATATAGATGCTAAAAATCTAAAGGACATGATGTGGACTTATCAAACAAGTGTTTTAACCTGCGGTTCCTCAGTGAGTCAGGCATAATGAGTTCTTCAGAGTCTGGTCTCTGCACGGCTCTGGGCTGAAAAAGGAAATGCAGAGTTAGGATTCTCCATTTCCTCCTTAACGGACACACACAAATAAACACCTTTATCATTATAGAAGGAAACTGTTGTGCCTCAGCCACTCCACAAATGGAGGTCGGTGCTCTCAGAGAAGGACTTTAAGACGTACTGAATTATATTTTTTTGTACATAAATCACAACTTTAAAACTTGCAGAGCACACTGATCTGACTGTGTTTATATTTCAAGTTCAGAAGAACATTAAAAAACTAAAACGTGTGTTTATATTAAAACTTAATTTGAAAAATAAATAAATGAATAAAAGTCTGCCTGCACTGTCAGGGTCAGTGAATGCTGCAGATTAAAGTCATGAAGCTCACAGCCGACTGAGCAGAGAATCAGTACAGAAGATATACAAATATTAAGACTTATTTCAAATGTAAAACAAGAACACACGTCATGATTTTCCCTTTAAAAGTCTAAAAAACAAACAATAAAATAAACTACATCTGATTAGTTTGAGGATTTAGAAACACTGGATGGTACAACAGGCCGAGTCTACATTTATTAAAAGTTATTTATTTAAACAGACTTCTAAAATAAACATCTGGGGGCGCTGGTAGTCTGGTGATTGTTATGAGCGCTACATGTAGACTACTGTGGACCTCCAAGCGGGCGGCCAAGGTTCGAATCCGACCTGTGGCTCCTCTCCCGCATGTCATTCCCCGCTCTCTCTCTCCCTCTCTCTCTCTCTCTCATTTCTGACTCTATCCACTGTCCTGTCTTAAAATGAAGGCTTAAAAACCCAAAATAAACCTTTTTGTCTAAGCCAAAAAAGTTATTCAAACTAAAGTGTAGGTTTAAATAATGACGTCAAATTGTCCTTTAATATTAATCAACTTTCATGTTTTCTAAAAGTTATCAATATGTAGACTAACAAATGTTATCTTAGGTTTTATAGCGTAAAGGCTGCTGACGTGTTTCTTTATTTTGTACCCGAGCTTCTGAAGATATGAAAAAGTAAACACCATTAAACCAACTTCTAAATACTGAAATAAAGCTTATGAAGAATTCTTGACCCGTATGAGTTCACTCAAACTCAGATTAATTTCTCAGTTTCATCTAAAAATGTTGTTTGTCTCAGGCCTCACAGGATGTATCTCTTTAAATCCAGCGGTGGTAAAAACACGGATATAAAATAAAGAAAACACGTCCTCTATACATTTTCTGACAAACTTTCCAAACAGAAGGACACAAATAAATAAATTACTTTCTTTAAGCAACATAAAACATGCATAGACGTTACCTTTAGATGGAGAAAAACAAACTGCGACACAGATTGATAAAGAAAGTAATTCAGCAGCTTTCAACCAAACTTGTTCTTCTTTACACAATGCACAGACTACATTAAAGAGGAAGAAGCTGCAGGAGAACTCACCAAGTTCTCTCTCTCTCCTCACTCGCTCCCCCCACCCACACACATACGCACTGAGCCATTCACAGACAGACAGAGGCCTACCCTGCTCGTATAACAGGAGGAAAAGAAACTAACGCAGAAATCCTTTGTCTCTTGTCCTTTCAAAAAAAGAAAATGTCATACTCATCATGGTAGTTGTTTTATCATAGCCTTGTTATAGGCCTAAAATAAATACATACAGGTATTTGTTTTCACAACTTCTATGGCAACTTTTCTGTGTTACTTATATAGCCTACTTCATAAAGCACAATTGTATCTGTCTGACAACTTTGAGTGGCGGCAGTGATACGGAGGAATCTTTCTGAAAAGCAGCCGCACACTCCATTGGTTGTATAGCGCAATTGCGGTCCACTTTTATTTTTTTTTTTAATTGATAAAAAACAAAAAAAAAACAGTTAACTGTGTACACGGAAAAAATGACGTTGTGTAACCGTTTACAATTTTCTGCAGTCGTTCACACCCCTAATGGATATAAATGAAGAAAACACGTCCTCTATACATTTTCTGACAAACTTTCTCAACAGAAGGACACAATTAAATAAATTACTTTCTTTAAGGTCTATAAAACATGAATAAACGTTACCTTTAGATGGAGAAAAACAAACTGCGACACAGGTTGATAATGAAAGTAATTCAGTGGCCTTAAACCTTAAACCAAACAAACTTGTTCTCCTTTAAACCCTTACACATTACACAGGCTCAATTAAACAGGAAGAAGCTGCAGGAGAACAGATCTGAACACAGTTAATGTATAAACCATGTTCAGTAGGTTGTCTTTACCCAAAGTGTTTTCTTAAATAGCTCTGATTTTGCCTGAAGCCCCAAAATAAACCTTTTTGTCTAACCTAATAAAGTTATTCTAACTAAAGTGTAGGTTTAAATAATGACGTCAAATTGTCCTTTAATATTAATTAACTTTTATAAAAGTTACCAATATGTAGACTAACAAATGTTATCTTAGGTTTTATAGTTTATTAAAATGGCAGCTGACGTTTTTCTTTGTTTTGTACCCGAGCTTCTGAAGATATGAAAAAGTAAACACCATTAAACCAACTTCTTAGTATGACGGAGGACTAGGGCCATTTTAAAGAAAACAAAATCCAGAATTTCGAGAATAAACACGTACATTTACGAGAATAAAATCATAAATTTGCAAGATTAATCTTGTAAATGTACGAGTTGGAGACCAGCCTGCGAGTAAATGATGAAAGTAGAACTCTTAAAGTATTTTCCTCTGCAGACACTTCCTGCACGTCAGTGTGGTTCTTTCTTCAGTTTCTTGCAGTATCTTTTCAGGGTGCTGATATTTTATGACAATGTGAAGATGATGTGCCAAAAGCATGTGTAGTTTCATATCTGCATAAGTAAAGCCCCAACACAACTATTTGTGTCTGTTATCTGTCTGCCTTGTTAAAGTGTCTCATGTGCAGACAGTTTGTGTCCTCTTCATCATTTGACAGACAAACAAGGTCTTGCAAATTGAAGTGAAAACTTCTCTTGAACTAACTGTTTTACCGACAACACAAGGAAGTAGCCTATTTCCTTATTAGTGAAACCTTTACTAAAGTATTAGAAGATGCTCCATGTTTGTCATTTCAGAACAGGTTACCCTCCGTACATCTCAGTCCTCACAGGATGTATCCCTTCAACATCAGCGGTGGTAAAAACACTGATATAAAATAAAGAAAACACGTCCTCTATACATTTTCTGACAAACTTTCCAAACAGAAGGACACAAATAAATAAATTACTTTTTTTAAGGTATATAAAACATGCATAGACGTTACCTTTAGATGGAGAAAAACAAACTGCGACACAGATTGATAATGGAAGTAATTCAGCAACCACACTTGTTCTTCTTTAACCCAACCCCTTAAACATTACACAGACTACATTAAAGAGGAAGAAGCTGCAGGAGAACAGATCTGAACACAGTTAATGTATAAACCATGTTCAGTAGGTTGTCTTTACCCAAAGTGTTTTCTTAAATAGCTCTGATTTTAGGAATATTATTGACTCTGGTTCTTCAGAAGCTTCTTCCAGAGAATGTGTGACTACTGCTCAGTCTGTGTTTTTAACAGAGCAGACACTAATGTGATGTTAGTGTAACAGTGTTAATGATTCCACTTATTTCACTAGCTTTGATTGTGCTGATACAGTTTTACAATGTAGGACTTAAAACATCACAACTTCACAACTTGGATATAATCGACATTTCCCACTCCTCATTAAGACTTTTAATGGCCCTTATAGCTGTCATCAGGATCAGTTAGGCCTGCACACTTTAAGTTCTTCATTTTGAGTTAAATATAACAAAATATACATTTTTAATTAAAACAATATTTTCATTATAAAACATTAATATAATCAAGAATATCTCTATAAGAGGAGTTTCTGTTTATTTCTGTGGTTGGGGCGGGACATCATTAAGAGTTGTGTTCCTCACCTGGCAGGAGAGGCAGAGCACGTGGCAGGTTGATCACAGGAGGATGTTTGAGAGTGGTTCTGGTGTATCATTCAAAAGTTTAATAAAGAGAAGACTGACCCATGAGTGAAGTTTCCTTTACCCCCTTTCGGTTGATGCAGCCCATGAGGTGAACTGTTGTGTTCTGGTTGTTGTTTCTATATTATAGCCTACCTGAAGCTAATGGCTAATATGTTAATAGTAAGCTAATGGCTAACATGCTAACAGGCTAAACTAGTGGCAATCATGATAGCATGAATGACAGCCTGCCATTGTAGTCCATGTTTAAAAAGCTACATTGT